TCTGTGCTGTTGCAGCCATTGTTTTGTTGAATTACTTGTATGCTTTGGGTCATTGTCCTGTTGCATCACCCATCCTCTGCGGAGCTTCAGTTGGCGGACAAATGGTCGTACGTTTTCCTGCAAAATGTCTTGATAAACTCTGGAATTCATTTTCCCATCAATGACAACAATCCGTCCAGGCCCTGAGGCAGCAAAGCAGCCCCAAACCATGATGCTCCATCCGCTATGTTTTACAGTGGGGATGAGGTTTTGATGTTGGTGTGCTGTGCCTTTTTTTCTCCACACATAGTGTGTTGTGTTTTCTTCCCAAACAACTCAATCTTGGTTTCATCTGTCCACAGTATATTTTGCCAGTAGTGCTGTGGAACATCCAGGTGCTCTTTTGCAAACTTCAAACGTGCTGCAATATTCTTTTTGGACAGCAATGGCTTCCTCCGTGGTGTCCTCCCATGTACTCCATTCTTGTTTAATGTTTTCATTATTGTAGATGTGTCAACAAAAATGTTAGCATGTGCCAGAGATTTCTGTAGGTCTTTAGCTGACACTCTGGGATTCTTCTTTACCTCATGCAGCATTCTGCGCTGTGCTCTTGCAGTCATTTTTACAGGATGACCATTCCTAGGGAGAGTAGCAACAGTGCTAAACTTTCTCCATTTGTAGACAGTCTGTTTTACCATGGACACATGAACATCAAGGCTTTTGGAGATACTTTTGTAACCCTTTCCAGCTTCATGCAAGTCAACAATTCTTGATCGTAGGTCTTCTGAGAGCTCTTTTCTGCGAGGCATGGTTCACATCAGACCGTGCTTCTTGAAACCAGTAAACCCAAAAAAGGTGTGTGTTTTTTAAGGACAGGACAGCTGTCAGCAACACATCCAATATCATCACACTGATTGGTGTCAAAGTTGGCTCACTCCTGGCTCCAATTAGCTCTGGGAGAAGTCCTTAAGCTAGGGCCTCACATACTTTTTCCTCCCTGCACTGTGAATGTTTACATGTCATGTGCAATTAAACCATGGCAATATCTAATGTTTGTGTAGTATTATGTTCAGCAGACTGTGTTTTTCTATTGTTGTGACTTAGATGACGTTCAGAGCACATTTTATGCCCAATTCATGCAAAACTCCACGTAATCCCAAGGGGTTCACATACTTTTTCTTGCAACTGTATCTGGCTACCCGTGTACCTATCCCAGCTTCATCCACCGACTTTGCTTGTTCTCCGCCCATCCTGACCTTGGCACGTCTACCGGATTTCCTGCTTTCTCCTGCTACTCACGTGAGCAGTCTCCGCATCCTCAGCTGGGCTTACCTGGGAGCCACAACCTGGTTCCTGCTTGCTGCAAGTCCATCCCCACCATCAGGGGTCCTGGTGAAGAAGCAGGCTGGGGCTTAGACTTCGTGCTCTGGAAAACCCTGAGTTGGCGATCTACAGGGGCTCACTACCACAAACACTTGACAGTTTGCTCAGGCCGTGAGATACTCTGAGACACCGCAGTCTCTTCTGGAACAACTTCAGTGTTTGGCGCAGAGAGTCGATGTCAGGAATGGTCTTATCTCTGGTAGTGCTGGGGCTTACCTGCCTTGTGGGCTGCAGTACCAGTGCTGGCCAGCGGGTGCTCTCAGCAGCCAGTGTCTCACTCCTGCAATCAGGCCATCACCTGAGGCTGTTTGCAGGAGGTATATTTAAGCAGGACCAGGCCTGCAGTCAGTGCCTTGGTGTATTGCTCCCTTGTGCCCTGTATCCTGATCCTGCATCCTGCCTGCCTGACTCTCTGCTTTGATCCTGACTCCGCATGAAATCTGCCTGTAGCGACCTCGGCTACTCCTGACCACTCTCCTGCCTGCTCCTTGTACCTTGTCTGCCCATTAGCTACCGACCCGGCCTGCCCAACTTTGTTTGGTGTTGTACATATTGTTATCTGTTGGAGGTGTGGTTTTGTTTGCACTGTGTTTATGTTTAGCCTTGCACTGCATTTATGTATTTTTAGCCTTTAATAAATTGTATTGTTTTATACTATACCTGAAGTTTGCGTTTCCCTGTGTTGGTCCACACATCTCTGGTCATACCCGGATCCCTGACAGTCGATGTCCAGAAGGCCTATCAAGAACAAATTATGCAGTGTCTGCAGGAACTTTCCTCCTGTTTTAATCAGCTGTAGGTTGTGTCCACTTCAAAACTCCAGCTTCAGTCCTTCAAAACTCCAGCTGCCTCCACCGTCTCGCTTCTCTTGTGATCCCAAAGCTGGTCGGAGCTTCATCAATCAGTGCTTAATTCACTTTGAGCTAGAAGCCCACCATTTTCCTACTGACCGGTCCAAGGTGGCGTACATGATTTCACTCCTTTGTGGTGAAGCTCTGGCTTGGGCCTTGCCACTGTGGGAGCGTTAAGATCCTACTATTTTCAGTTTCTCAGCCTTCCAGCAAGCATTCAGTAAAACCTTCAATGTGCCCGGCAGAACTTCATTTGCTGCGCGAGCTCTTCTTCATCAAGGTGGCATGACTTGGTCAATATGCAGTTCAGTTTCGCACCTTATCTTTGGGACTGGCATGGAATAATGAGGCCCTTTCTGCAACCTTTTGGCAGAGTCTAGTGGACCATATTAAGGATGAACTAGCTGGAAGAAACATACCCACCACCCTGGATGACTTGATTGCTGTTGGCATTCAAATCGATCTCCGCTGTGAGATCTGGAAAGGGCTGGTCCACGTCGCCCCCGTGGGTTGTTTAGCTCCTGTTTTCCAGAAATCCCTTGATCAATCCACCTCTGCAACTGTACCGGCATCTGAAGAGCCTATGCAGTTAGGCCAAACACTCCCCACTCCACAAGAGCGATCGCATAGCCTAAGACTTGGCCTATGCCTTTACTGTGGGGCTGAAGGTCCTATAATAAAGTCCTGTTCTGTCCGTCCGGGAAACTCTCGGGTCTAGGTCACTCTGAGGGAGGTGATCTAGACCAGAACCTGAATTTCGCTACCTTCCCTCTATTTATCATACCTGTCTCCACTCTTTGGGCCCTGAACTCGTATCAGGTTTCTGCATATGTGAACTCTGGGGCAGCCGGGAACTTCATCGAGCTATCATTGGCCACTGAATTGGGCATTCCTCTTGTCCTCTTGATGACACTCCTATCAGTATCTTTAGTTGATGGCTCTACCTTGGCCATAGGACCCCCTATGGTTCCAAACTAACTCTGTAACTATGCATGTTGGTGTTCTTCATCGTGAGGAAATCTCCTTTCTGATCCTTCCTAAGTCTTCAAGTCCCATCATTCTTGGACTTCCATGGTTTCAGAAACACTCACCCTACCTAGACTGGAACTCTGGCCAAGTATTGTCATGGGGGTCACAATGCCATAAGACTTGTCTCTCTAAAGTTCTTCCACCTCACTCTGTACCTGTGGCTGAGGTCACCACCTCTCTGGTGCTTCCTCAACAATATCAAGCCTTCCAAGATGTTTTTTGTAATAAACCTGCTCCCCTGCTTAGTCCTACTGCAGGCACCCTTCCAATGCTGTCCACCTCTAATTCCTTACCCTCTTTTGTTGCCTAAACCATCAGTTCCTTTACATACTGTAGAGCTCAAAGCTCTAAGCCCACTACTATCTGGATGGGTGAAGGCCCCAACATCTGTGACCTCTGTGAATACTCACAGTAGAAGCCGATCTGCGAGTGCTGATAAAATGATGTCTGCCGGCACCCACCGATCTTCAGCCAGAACAGAGCTCTGCCTATGTAGACAAGAGCTCTGTTCTGTTCTAGCAAAGGTGGGAACATGATCCTTCACTTCCCCTATTAAAAGCATGACCTAGTGTACACCAAGCACACAGTTAACCCTTTGATCACCCTAGTTGTTTACCCCTTCCCAGCCAGTGTCATTAGTACAGTGTTGGTACATATTTTTAGCACTGATCGCTGTATTCGTGTCACTGGTTCCCACAAAATGTCATTTTAGTGCAAAAATGTCCGCCGCAATATCACAGTCCTGTTATAAGTCGCTGACCACCGCCATTACTAGTATTAAAAAAAAAAATTCCAGTCTATGTCCCATAGTTTGTAGATGCTATAACTTTTGCGCAAACTAATCAATATACACGTTTTGGGGGTTTTTTTTATACCAAAAATATGTAGCAGAATACACGTTGGCCTAAGTTTGTGAAGAAATTAGACTTTTTAGCATTTTTTATATTGGATATGTTTTATAACAGAAAATAAAAAAGTTTTTTTGTTTTGTTTTTTTCAAAATTGTTGGTCTTTTTTTTTTTTTTGTTTATAACGCAAAAAGTAAAAAATGCAGAGGTGATCAAATACAACCAAAAGAAAACTCTATTTGTGGAGCAAAAAAGACACATTTTTTTTTGTACAGCGTTGCATGACCGTTAAAGTAACTCAGCGCCATATCGCAAAAAATGGCCTGGTCAACAAGGGGGGTAAATCTTCTGATGGTTAAAATGGTGGTGCCATGCAATGGGGTTTATCAAGGCAATTTTTGAAACATAATTGATATTAATCCCTTTGCAAGCTGTTTATAGGAAATTTGTGAATTTGCAGTACTGACAATAATGTGTAGATGTCGGGAATGGTTTCAATTTAGTGCTTTGTACAAAGGTAGCCATCTGGTAATACGAAGGGTACAGTATTATTATTATACAGGATTTATATAGCACCAACAGTTTGCGCAGCACTTTAGAAAATTACAATTACAATACAATTTGGTACAAGAGGAAACCGAGGGCCCTGCTCAGTAGGTTATAAAGCTCCATGCCATTGATCCATGAAGACTGACCTTGCATTAAAGCACCTATTTCATGTGTCTTTTAGGTCTGGGTCGGCTCTGTGACAGAAGTGACTTCTAACGATCTGTTGGCTGAAGATAAGGACACCTCTCCAGCTGATCTGGTGTACTTCATCACACCACCCAGCAATGGCCACCTCTCACTGAAATCCCACCCAGATCGGAGTATTCTCAATTTCACCCAGCAGCACATAAATAATGGACAGCTTGTGTTTGTGCACAATGGTGAGCAAATGAAGATCTAAATGATTTCTAGTTTATGTTGGATTTCCAGGGACTTGCATCTGGTATACTCTGAAATGTTTGTTCACAAAAGCATAGTAGCATTTGGGGAGAGCCAGCTGAGCTGCAACTGAGTGCATATATTTACATTTGTTCTCTATGGTCCCACTGTATGTAGTAACAGGGCCACCCTCCTTTGCACGTTTCCAAGATGTACTAGGGACTATGGGATTTTTATTGTTCATACAGCAGTGCAACTAATCTGTATTGCTTGTTCCAAGCAAAGGAGGGGGAGTGAACGGTGAAAACCAAAGGTTCAAGACCTCGCAGAGAATGTTACAAGGTAGTAAAAAAAACATGGTAAGAAACTATTTCATGAAAAAGAGATTGCAGGGCCAATTAATGAGTTAAGCTGGCCATACATGGATTTATATTTGGCCGGTATGAGCTAGCTGGTTGTTCACAAATTGATCAACTTGTGTACAGCCACCCTGTGGGGCTTTTCCTGAGCGATCAGTGCTGCTGGCTGTAGCCAGCAACACCAATCACTATATTCTGCCAGCGGGAAGGTTCCCCACCTGGGAACACAATTAACGCTTTAGGTGTGATTCCCCATCCACCTTTTTTCCCACTCAACCTGCTAGTTGAACAAAAAAAAAAGTATAATGTATGGCCTGCCTGTGTAGAAAATATTTTTGTAGATTTAAAGATATTTTAGTGGAACTTTAAGCTGCGTTCTTTTTTTTTTTGGGGGGGGGGGGGGTCAACTTCTTATGAACTTTTTTGAAAAACAAAACACTCTTTAGCTTTAAATATTTTCACTTTTGATACATTTCTGAAAGATGAATATTATTCAATGTAACGCAGGGATGTCAAACTGGCGGCCCGGTTGAAATATTTTACATGACCCAATTAGGAACATTGTAACAGATTATAACAGTCCCTTTTACAGTGTAGAAATATTAATGGGGGTTGATTTACTAAAGAGCAAATAGACTGCAAGTGCAGTTGCTCCAGAGCTTAGTAAAAGGTGACTATTCATTTTGCAAAGAATACCCAATCATATGCAAGGAAAAAAAAATCTATATATATATTTTTGCTTGCACGTGGTTGGAAGATGGAAGTCAGGGGAGCTTCCCCTCATTTACTAAGCTCTGAAGCAACTGCACTTTTGCAGTCTATTTGCCTTTAGTAAACCAACCTCATGATCTACTATATCCTGTCTTGGAACTAAACTGGAAGTGTGGTACCCTTGGTGATGTTGTGTTCTTTGCTGGTCTTGTTTTAGGACCAATGTCTGGGGGATTCAACTTTCAAGTTACAGATGGTTTGAATTTTGCACCTAGACAAATTTTTAGCATCACTGCAAGAACCCTAGTTATAAATCTGGAAGTAAATAAAGGTCTTGGTGTATTTCCAGGTAAGTACTGCAACCATCTTTTATCAATGACCTCCTCCAAATAAACATGCTGATATCTGTTGATAGGTGGTGCATTGTCCAAGGTTTATTAAAAATGTAAAAACATACTCACATAATAAGGTGCATATAAAAGCTTATAAAACCACTGGGATGGCCCAACGTGATGGCAGTGTCTCCGACTGGTGGTGAGGTCGGCCTGCTGACGCTTTCCAGGGATGTGTCCCCTTCCTCAGAGCTAGAGCCGACAAAGTTAATGTGACATTTTTCCAGTTTTGGTTTGATCTCCAAGTCAAAGGAGGGCTGCATCACCAAGACTTTACTCCAAGGCCACTAATGCATCTGATTCCCTGGTTTCTTCCTGGCATTGACCACGTTGAGGCACTGGAGAGGTAGATCTTTCAGTCCGGTTTGATATCTGTTGATATTAAAAACCATACACTGTGTGAACTTTGGTCAGTTCCTGATAAATCTGAAACTTTCTATGTGGGTGGTCCTGTTGGCCCCCTCCCACCCACCCTCCCATACTTTTAAAATCAAAGCTGCTGCATTGAAAGTTGTCAGCCAAGCAGCGGCTGTTCAGGTATTCTGACAGTTGTCAGAATACAGAAGCCTGGCATGAAGGATTCATCCATCCATGCTGTAAGCATAGATAGAGTAATCTTTTAGATCTTTAAAATCTTACAGTATATGGTTAGCATTAGTAGGCTGTTGGCTTAAAGATGTTTGAATTACCAACAGCAACATAGACTGTCTGTATTTATATCGCAGTACTATGACACTGCAGTTGCACTCCTCCTTTATCTGTAGTATGTTGATGACCAAATCACATGTTTTAGAGGGCCTACTGCCATTAGCCTTGAATTGAAACCTTCCTCACAGTAAGATTATATAGTCCTTCATACTACATAATTATGATATATAGAGGTTATACATTTTATAGAATAAACTTCTCCTATTGTACTAACAGTAAGGAGGTTAGAGTTAATAAGGTATTTTTTCTAATTGATGGCAGCAGCACATCTCAAAAAAGTTGGAACAGGGCAGAAAGCTGGCAAAGTGGTTAAAGTCTTTGCAATTATACATTGGGGAACATTATTAAGTGGCACTAAGAAGGAACAGCTGGAAGAGCATGTTGCAACTAATTAGGTTAATTGGCAACAGGTCCGTAACACAATTGGGTATAAAAAGGGCATCTTAGAGTCAGAATGTCTCAGATGTAAAGATGGGCAGAGGTTCACCAATCTGTGAATAGTTGAATGCAAACATTGTCAAACAATTTCAGGATAATGTTCCCCAATGTATAATTGCAAAGACTTTAACCACTTGCCTACTGGGCACTTATACCCCCTTCCTGCCCAGGCCAATTTTCAGCTTTCAGTGCTGTCGGACTTTGAATGACAATTGCGTGGTCATGCGACACTGTACCCAAATGAAATATGTATAATTTTTTTCACACAAATAGAGCTTTCTTTTGGTGGTATTTAATTGCTGCTGGGTGTTTTATTTTTTATGCTATAAACAAAAAAAAAAGCAAAAATATTTGAAAAAAAAATTTTTTTGCAAACAGGTAATTTTTATCCTTCACTGATGTGCATTGATGAGGCTGCACTGATAGGCAGCACTTGTGGGCACTAATAGGCGCCACTGATGAGCTGGCACTGGGAAGCACTTTTGGGCACAGGTGGGTTGTACTGATGGGCACAGGTGATTGGCACTGCAGGGCACAGGTGGGTGGTACTGCTGAGCACTGATGATCAGTGCCGATCCCTTTGCTGACAATTGCCGGTTCTCGGCAGTACTTTCCTCACGCTGTAACAGTGTGAGGAAAGTGGAGCTGATAACCAGGTGATCACCAGCAACCCAGTGATCTGTTGTGTCATTGGACACAGCTGATCACGTGGTAAAAGGTTGCTGTGATTGGCCGTTTAGCGTATCCCATGATCAGCTGTGTCCTTAGGACACCGATCACCGGCAGCACTGGGGGCGTGCAGGGGACATGTTCTGGAATGACATCCATGGATGTCATCCCAGAACCAGACAACCACACTGTAGCCGTCCTTCCGCTATAGTGCGGTAGGGAACTGGTTAAATACATTATATCATCATCTACAGTACATAATGTCATCAGAAGATTTTGAGAATCTGGAGAAATTTCTGTGTGCAAGGGACAAGGCTGAAGCGCAATATTGGATGTCCATAATCTTCAGGCCCTCCGATGGCACTGCATGGAAGAAAAAAAAAAAAGGCATGATTATGTGATGGACTTCACTGCATGGGCTCTGGAATACTTTAAAAAATCATTGTCTATGAAACAGTTTGCCATGCCATCCAAAAATGCAAGGTAACGCTCTATCATGCAAAGAAGCTATATCTGAACATAACCATGGGCGCAGCATATTGTCCCATCCAGATGACATCTTTTTCAGGGAAGGCCTTGCATATTTCAGCTGGGCAACGCTATACCACATACTGCACCTACCTCCTGTAAAGAGGAATGGTCAAAACATCCTCCTGAACTCTGTGCAGGTCTAATCCAGAGCTACAAAATGTCCTCTGTGTTGAACTCATTGCTACCAAAGGAGGTTCAACCAGCTATTAAAAACCAAGGGTTCATTTACTGTTTCCTCCCACATTGTGAGTGTTTAATGGGTATAAAGACACGAAAAATCACAGAATCATGCCTATTTTTGTCCTGTCAGCCTAAAGTGGAGTTCCATTCAGTTTTGTGTTTATTGAAAGTCAGCAACTACAAAAACTGTAGCTGCTGACTTTTAATAAACGCACACTTACCTGTCCCTCGGTTCAGTGCTGTGCTCATCCGTGCTGTCCCTTCTCTGCCTCTTTTCTCCCCCAGTGCTGGCATCACAACTGGGCACTAGGCTGTTATTGCTTGCAGCTTCACAGCCGGGTGCCCACTGGGCATGCGTGAGTCACGCTGTGCATTCTCATAGTCTGGTAGAACCCATGAAGGTTCCCAGGAGACTGTGGGACGAAGGAGGGGGCCGAACATCCAGCTCACTTCACCGTGGTGAACTGAGCCGGAAGTGGGAGCTGGTAACTGTCAAAAACAGGTATCCGCTCCCCCCCAAAAGGTGCCAAATATGGCAGTGGAGGAGGCAAATGAGTGGAGCTTCTGCTTTTGAGTGGAACTATGCTTTAAGCACTCTGTGTTTGTCTATTATTGTGAATTAGGCAGCCCATACATAGATCGTTTTTTTTTTTTTTTTTTTTTTTTTTTCAATCGGGGTTGAACAGAAAAAAAATTATCTGATTCTCCCACCCACTCACTTGAGGAGCATAGGAAAAACCTTCCCACTATGGTATTGTAATCTGACAGTGGGGCACCTTCCCCGCCATCACAATACAATGATCAGTGTTGCCAGAGGCACTAAACCAGGGGCACTGATCATTCGACTGGCCAAATTTCCAACCATGGTATGGCCAGCTTCAGATGAGGGTCACATCACATTTTTATGGCAAATTACTGCAGAATAATCAAAGGAGTTCACATACTTTTTCTTGCCAGCATTGTATGCAGCATTGTGGCATCCTGGTATGTACTGTGTTTGGGGTAAGCACGTTCTCCCAGTGATTTGCATTAATTTCATCATGCAATAATAATCACATTATCTTGGCTATATCCAGGTTGGCCCTAACATTTATTTGATAAATTAGAGTCTAAGCTTGATGGAGCCATAAAGCTATAGTCAAGCTAACTGATGCTGCTTAATTTGGTCTGTGTGTCCAAACTTTAATGACATATGATCGTGAAATGGTTACATTAGACGTTCTTTGTGTTTATTTACCTTTTGTGTTTCTTCTGTTTGCTATTTGAGTCTTTATCTACTTTTTTATCTACTACTGTATGGATTCCTATATATCTTATCATTGTCCAGGAACGTGGAGGGTCATTTCTTCGGAGATTTTAAAAGCTGTAACCAATGACCAGAGTGACATAAATAACAGGACAATAACATTCCAGGTGTCCAGCCCTCCAAAACACGGACAAATCCTAAAACTGGAACAGGAAAATGCAACAGCAGAAGTGTCAACCTTTACCCAGTTGATGGTAAGTGACGGTTTTTTTTATGCAATTTCTACTAAAAACATTATTGTGGGGGCGATAGCTGTCCTAAAATACAAAGCATAGCAGAAAACACATGAGGCCATGGAGCTGATTTTTTGAGAACCTAAGTAAAATAAATTACAGCAGAAATGTAACTGTTGCTAGTAGTAGTCAGATTCCTTTGAAAAGTTTGTCCTGCTGAAATAAGCCTATCCAATTTTAGCTGTGTTTTCACTTTGTGGAGTCTAGATATTACAAGATAGCTCAATTATCCGCTTGCGCCCCCGCCGCCCTATAGCAGAAATACTGCTACATAGTGGCAGGGCTGCACAAAATCACGTGTGTATATATAGGCAATTTTGCATTTCTGGGTAGGGGGCACGCACATCACCCTACCTGCACCGCCATTGGGGCTTCAGCTGTCGATCACCAGGTCCCGGCCGGTGATTCCCCACCAGCACCTGATGACCGCCGAGTATCACTGACAGGGGAGATGTCTGTATGTAAACAATACAGATCTCTTCTCTGCATAGCAGAGCAATACAGAACAATGTGCTGACACTGTAAAACAGCACACCGTTAACCCTTTGATCGCCCCAGATGTTAACCCCTTGCTGCCCAGTGTCATTAGTACAGTGTTAGTGATTTCTATTAGCACTGATCTCTGTATTAGTGTCACTGGGGATGTCAGTGACAGTCAGTCCCCCCCACCAGTGTCAGAATGCCCGCTGGAGTCCCGCTATAAGTCACTGATCGTCGCTATTACTAATATTAAAAAATTCCAGTATTATTATTATACAGTATTTATAAAGCGCCAATAGTTCGCTCAGCGCTGTACATTACAAAGGGGGACAGAACATGTGACAGAACAATACCAATACCATGCAAAACATGAGGGGATTGAGGGCCCTGCTCTTTGGAGCTTACAATCTAGGAGGGAGGGGATGGTGGCACAGGAGGAGATAGCTGTGGGGGATGGAGTGGTAGGAAGAGTGGAGGAGGTCGGCAAGTTAGCAGGGGGTGAGGTAGGCTTCCCTGGAGAGATGGGTTTTCAGCGTGCGCCTAAAGGAGAGGAGAGTAGGTGATAATCTGATGGGTTGGGGCAGGGAGTTCCAGAGGATGGATGACACCCTGGAGAAGTCCTGGAGGCGGGCATGGGAGGTGGAGACCAGGGAACTAGAGAGAAGGAGGTCTTGTGAGGAGCGGCGTGTGCGTGCTGGGCAGTACTTGGATATTAGGTCAGTGATGTAGTTTGGGGCAGTATGGTGGACAGCTTTGTACGTCAGTATTAGGATTTTGAATTTGATCCGTTGCGCAATCGGAAGCCAGTGGAGGGATTGGCAGAGGGGGGATTGGCAGAGGGGGGTGGCGGAAACGGAGCGTTTGGAAAGGTGAATGAGTCTGGCAGCCGTATTCAGGATGGACTGAAGCGGGGATAGCCAGCGGCGAGGCAGGCCAGTGAGGAGGGAGTTGCAGTAATCGAGTCGTGATATGATGAGGGAGTGGATGAGCTGTTTAGTGGTTTCTGGAGTTAGGAACGTGCGTATTTTGGCGATGTTGCGGAGGTGGAGTCTGCACGAGTTTGTTAAAGATTGGACTTGGGGCTGGAAGGATAGGTTGGAGTCCAGAATGACACCAAGTACTCTGGCCTACAGGGCGGGTTTGATGGTAGCGTTGTTGGATGTGATGGAGAAGTCAATGGGGGGTGGTGTCCGGGCTGGGGGGGAAGACAAGAAACTCGGTTTTGGAGAGGTTCAGTTAAAGGAAGTGGAGCGACATCCAGTCTGATATGTCGCTCACCAGGTGTGTGATTCGGGCGGAGACCAAGGGGGTGAGGTGGGGGTTTGAGAGATAGATTTGTGTGTCGTCGGCATAGAGGTATACCGCATATATATACCGCCATTTGTAACGCTGTAACTTTCACGTAAAACAATTAGTTTACACATATTGTGATTTTTTTTTTTTTTTTAGCAAAGACGTGTCACAGAATACATTGTGGTGTAAATTTATGATGAAATTTGATTTTTTTTTAAAAAAATTTTAATGGACGTGTTTAACCACTTGCCCTCCTGTGGATTTACCCCCCTTCCTGACCAGGCCATTTTTTGCGTTACTTTAACTGACAATTGCGTGGCCATGCAATGCTGCACCCAAATGAAATTTGTCCTTTTTTTTTCCCACGAATTGAGCTTTCTTTCGGTGGTATTTGATCGTCTGTGCGTTTTTTTTTTTTTTTTTTTTTTTTGTGCTATTAAAAAACAAAAATATCGACTTTTTTGAGAAAAAATAGTATTTTTGACTTTTTGCTATTAAACATGTCCAGTAAAAAATTTTTAAAAAGGCAAATTTCATCATAACTTTAGGCCAAAATGTATTCTGCTACATGTCTTTGCTGAAAAAAAAAAAAATCCCAATACATGTAAATAACTTGGTTTACGTGAAAGTTATAGCGTTTACAAAGGGCAGTATAGATGCTGGAATTTTTTTTATTTTATTAGTAATGGCCGCGATCAGCAACTTATAGCAGGACTACAGCGGACATTTTGACACTGGGGGAACTGACTTGGTGTCACTGACATCCCCAGTGAAACCAATACAATGGTCAGTGCTAAATAAAAGCACTGACGCTGTACTAATGGCACTGGGCAAGAAGGGGTTAACATCTGGGGTGATCAAAGGGTTGACTGTGTGCAGGGAGTGTTTTACTAGGGGACCTGTCAGTGTGCTTCACTGTAATCACACTGCCTTGAATAGCTGTGCTGTGCACAGCCATCCAAAGCAGTGTGCCCGAGCTGACATGGAGGAGAACGGTTAGTAAACAGAACAGTCCTCCTCCCTGTTGGAGATGCTCGGTAATCACTGGCCGGGACCCGATGATTGACAGCCGCGAATGGCGGCGCGGGTAGGGTGTGCGTGCCCCCTACCCGGAAATGTGCAATCATGTGTATATATACGTGATTTTGCACACCTATGCCGCCCTGTAGCAGTGTTTCTGCTATAGGGCGGTCGGGAGGCGGTTAATAACAAAAAGTCAAAAATATTGTTGTTTTTTTTTCTCAAAAAAATAAATGCACAGGTGATCAAACACCACTGAAAGAAATGTCCATTTGTGGGGAAAAAAAGGATATAAATTTCATTTGGGTGCAGTGTTGCATGACCATGCAAAGTAATGCAGCGCCGTATTGCAAAAAATGGCCTGGTCAGGAAGGGGGGTAAATCCTCTGGAGGGCAAGTGGTTAAGGGCTGGTTCACACCATGCCCACATCTGAATTGCGATTAAATCCACATTGCGATCTGCAGTGTGTGTCTAAAACACCCCAAACACAATGGGGTTTATTTACTAAAGCTGGAGAGTCCAAAATCAGACTCCCTTCTGCATAGAAACCAATCAGCTTCTAAGCTCAGCTTGTTCAATGAAGCTTTGGCAATGAAACCTGGAAGCTGATTGGTTTCTATGCAGAAGGGAGTCTGATTTTGGACTCTCCAGCTTTAGTAAATAAACCCCAATGTGTCTGCTTGCCCCGGATCACATACTTTTGCGCCATCCGATTCGGTTACAGTGCGTTTTAAAAAGTAGTGCATGCACGACTTTCTGTGCGTTGTGATTTTAGCCCATTCAAACTTATTGCGGGCTTGGTGTGAACCGGCCCTTAAAGCAGAACTAAAACCACCTCTTTCAGTAAAGGAAGCTGCCATATTGGGCTCTGTTTAATCCTCAATTGCCCGGATGCTGCATCATTTATGACACCAGCCATTTAATAGTTTGACAATTTGGTCGAGGGCCTGTTCAAACCACAGAAATGCAGTCCAGATACATTTCCGCAATGCTCGTTATGGACATGTCAAAAACGCATCAAAATGCACAAAAAAACATGTTCAGGTGTGTTTGTGATGCGTTCCGGTTCATTTTTTTCCCTTTTATTTTTCTTTAATTTAAATGGGAACATGTTCAGTCCAGTGCCTTTTTGATGTGGTTTACCATGTTCCAGTACAGTTCTGTGCAGGAAAAATGCAGCCTGTTCTATTTTTTATGTAACTGGAATGCACTGGAACTGCAAGCACTAATGTGAACTATGACATTGACGACCATATAACCTACTTTTTGTGTGTTTTGTATACGGTAAAAAAGAGCACACTGAAACGCATGTAGTGTGAACTGGCCCTGAGAACACAAGCAGATGTGACAGTTACATTCCCGGCAATGTAACTGTTTTTTGAAACTGTTAAACCAATGGGGTTAGTTCTGCTTTACCTGTCATGGGCAAACTGTCAAATGTCCTGAATTGTACTGTTATTTCAATCTGTATTCTTTTGTTAAGTGTTCTTGCATGGCAAGGCCACTTACTGTTATCTCACATATATATTCTTATTATTATAGCCAAATTTACCACCCTATAATATACTGAAACGTGCAGATTGTTCCCGATTGGTGTGCTATTACTTTGTGGAACGTTTCGCCGAATGGTTCACGAAATATCGGCGTTTTTGTGGTGAAATTGATCCCATAGGAATGAATGGCGGAATGTTCAAAACTAGAGTGGGAGCTGACAAAAGCTAGAGTGTGAGCTGAAAAATCAGGACATGATTTCTAAACTGCCATCACTCCCTCATTTTCAAGCCCACCTACACAAATCGTATATCAAAACGTTCAGCTATCCCTGCTGCCACTAAAAATGTCCACGGCTAAGCCATAGTCCTGATAGTTTTCACAATATGACCATTTGTTTGCAACTCACACCGCCCATTGACATTCATTGAAACTCCACTCTAGCCACCTCAAATTTGAAGGGCAATTTCTAAACTGCAACTGTGCCTTCATTTTTAATATTTCAGGGACATACTATGCATCAAAATGTAGGTCTGGGTCTTGTGATTCTCACAATATAAAGCTATTCGGTGTAAGATTTATAATTTTTAAACTACAACCATTTGAATATGGCAACCGCCAGTGAAGTGAGCAAGTTGGAGCAGTTTGTTTTTAACCGCTCTTCTCTGCCCTTGCTGTAGAGTGAGTTGCCATAGGAACAGTTACTCCAGCCACTCCAACCACACAACAGTTACTCCAGTCACTCCACCCAGTTACTCCGCCCACTCCAGTTGTAGACTACTGGTGGAGGCAATTTTTAGGTTGAGATAACCTGTGCAGAAAATGTATCTATAGGTTACAGTATGTTGTATGATCAGTGAGTTGTAAATAGAATATTAAATATTAATAATTGGTGAGAAACTCCTTATTTTAACCACATAATTTTACCCCCTTCATGACAAGGGCATTTTTTGCTATTTGGCACTGCGCTACTTTAACTGGCACTTAACGCGGTCATGCTACACTGTACCTAAATGAAATTGCTATAATTTGTTTTCACACAAATAGAGCTTTCTGTTGATGGTATTTAGTCATCACTATTTTTTTTTTTTTTTTAGTTATATAAACAAAAAAAATACCACAAATTTTGAAAGAACATGTTTTTCTTTGTTTCTGTTCTAAAATTGTGCAAACAAATAATCTTTCTTCATACCTTTAGGACAAAATGTAGTGTGCCACATTTCTTTGGTGAAGAAAAGTAATTTACTTCAGTATATATTTAGTCTGTGTGAAGGTTAGAATCTACAAACTATGGTATATGAAGTATATTTGAAAATTGATCAATTCTCTTGTGCTTATGGTCTATCTCTATCTTTATTTTTTGAGGCCCTAAAATGCCAGGACAGTACAAATACCCCCAAATGCCTCCTTTTTGGAAAATAGACAGTCCAGGGTATTTAGTAAGAGGCATGGCAAGTTTTTTTGAAGTTATAGATTTTTTGTCACAAGTTTTTAGAAAATAAAGAAATCAAATCTTTTCACAACTTTTTTTTTACATACTGTTACCAGTACAGTACAGAGTCACATGACTGGTTTATTCAATTTTTTTTAAATATATTTTTTCCTTTTTTTTTTTTTTACGGTTTTGTTTTTTTACATACTGTCATCAGAGTAGTTCAGTGTCACCATAGTAACAATATACTACTCTGGGGTGTTAATCAGGTTTTTGTTTTTAAACACTTCATATAACAGTGATGATCACTGTTATAAGCAATAGTATAAACTGTCATGAATGGCTTTCATTCATACAGCTCGCTTACTATTGTGATGCTGTGATTGGCTACAGCTGATTACTTGGTACAGGATGCTGTGAGTGGCCCATGTACCATGTGATAGCTGTAGTCCAATCCCAGCATCACAATAGTAAGCAAGCTGCTATGAATGGAAGCCATTCATGAGTTTTGCTTACATGTAATCCTGTGATCGCTATGAATGCTCATAGCGATCACACGATACCCTGGCCACTGTATGGGTACATTGTGGTGCTGGAGGATGCCGCCCACCAACATTTGTTTAAAGCGGAGTTCCACTCACCCTGTCAAAAAATAAAAGTCAGCAGCTACAAAAACTGTAGCTGCTGACTTTTAAAAAACAACCACTTCCCTGTCCCTGGATCCAGCGGTGTGTCCCCCCGCAGGCCGCTTCACCGGCCGTCCTGTATTCCAGGAGGCCGGCATCTTCATTGTGGGCACCCGGCCGTGATAGCTTGCAGATTCACAGCCAGGTACCCACTGCGTATGCGCGAGTAGCGCTGCGCTTCATGAATGGTCCTGTAGTTTTGTGGGACCTGTCATGTGTCACCCCCCCCCCCCCCCCAAAGGTGCCAATCCTTAATGGGGAGCAGTCCTTAAAGCGGAACTTCCCCTTTTGGGTGGAGCTCCGCTTTAATTGGCATTTTTTCCTGGTTATATAAGACCAATTCATACTTAGCTGTTCATTAACGCACACGAGTAGTGTCATGTGTTAATGTGCTTTAAGTTGAGGCATCTCTTTTGAATAGGTTGCCACTATCCTCAAGCCCCTTTTTTACATTACATGTGGTTTTCGGCTGAGAACCCCCCTGGCCAACAGCCAAATGGGGGCCTGGGATGCACTGTAATGGAAGCTGCCACATACATGACAGTTTCCAGCACAAACGTGCCCCACCTCTGTACACCAGCTACAAGCTGATCTTAATTACCACAAGTTTCTTAATGTAAGTACGAAATTCTTTAACAATCTTTCATGCCATAGTGACAGGTTCTTAAAGTGGCCGTAGTGAAAACTACCTAAATTTGCCATACATATTGGTAATTTTGCCGACACTAGTGTGAATGCTTGCCTGAATTGGACACAGGCAGTTCTTAAAGGGTAACTTCACATTTGTGGGGAAAAATGGCAAATAAAAACAAAATTAATTTAACATATACAATTGCTGCACAAGCCATGTTGTAATTTGTGTGTATAGATCACCTCCAAAAGTGTGATTTCCTACTTGGGTGAAGAACTCTGCACTAAGATACATCAGGTTTTAGGCATCCTCTGCAACAAAAATGGTGAGAAACTCCCTAAGGGTTAATCACTTCTAAGGGGATGCAGATACTGCAATTTTTCTCATCAGAACACTCAATATGCATCAGCTGAATAGAATACGGTAAGTCTCTCCCATTCAGAATCACTGTGCATGGGACATGACTTGGCAAAAGCTATTCCTTCAGAACAGAAACGAGCAGGAATCTGCATGAAAGTTTAATTGATCACCCAGGGGATTTTTTCCCAATAAAAGTGAAGCTACTCTTTGAGAAAACTGCTGCCAGAAAAGGTGATGTTATGACTTTATTGAATTCCCTTGATTGTGTGTTGTGAAGCACAGCTGCACTCTAGAAATGCATTGAAGTACCATTTAAAATCATTGGCATTCCAATCACGAATGCGTACACAGCGAGCTATTGTATGCTCAAAAATGGCCAGGTAATTTCATGAAATTAGTACCGTTGCTTGTAGGTATACAAATATGTATGGCGAGTCTTCACAACACAACCAATGACTTGGTACAGCAGTATTTAGAACTACACCTGTATCAATTGCTTTTCACTTTTCTTCTGTACACGTGAAGGTACTGTATGTGAACATTTGAGTCACAGGCCCCATAAAGAATGCCGCTTGAATCCTAGCTGTGCTGCAAGCAAGTTTTTCTAGTGCTCATAGTCACATACACATAAAGTCCTGCATTGTGAGCATTTGTTTACTGTCATTTGACAAAGTATTGTTGCCTAACCATGATTTTCTATGACAATGCTGCTACAGTTACCATTCATTTGAAAAGAAAATGTTTTCTATCTTGTACAGGTGAATGAGGCCACGATCTTCTATAAACATACAGATACGGAAGCTCTGGTGTGGAGTACACTGGATTCCTTCTCTTTCACAGTCTCTTCACCTCCGGCTGTGCTAGAAAATCAGAAGTTTCTCATCACTATATCATATGAGATTGATGATCCTAACAGGCCAACGCGTCTCATTGCAAATACTGGTAACTTGTTATGTTTCATATTTTTCAAATAATAAAAGGTATTCTCCAACCAAAAAAAAAAAAAAAAATATTTTTTAACATCTTGTGTCTAGGAATCACCCCCCCCCCCCCCCCCCCCCCCCCCCCCCCCCCCCCCCCCGCGGCAAACCTTTATGTTGTTGATTTGTGAAATTTCCATGGCCTCTCTCTATTTTGCTTAATTAACCACTTCCCCTCCACCCTATAGCAGAAATACTGCTACAGGGCGGCAGGGGTGTGCAAAATCACATACATACATGATTTTGCAATTCCGGCTAGGGGGCGTGTGAGCCCTACCCACGCCGCCATTCGCTGTCTCGGCTGTCAATCACCGGGTCCTGGTCGGTGATTACACACTAGCACCCGGTGATTGCCGTTTTATCTGCGACAGGGGAGATACCTGTGTATAAACATCACTGATCTCTCCAGTCAGCTCCTGCACACTGCTTTGTATGGCTCTGCATAGCAGAGCCATACAAAGTGGTGTGCTTACAGTGGAAAGCACACATACCGCATACTGTGAAACAGCACACAGTTAACCCTTTGATCGCCCACACATTAACCCCTTCCTGCCCAGTGCCATTAGTACAGTGTCAGTGGTTTTTATTAGCGCTGATCACTGTATTGTTGTCAGTGACACCAAATCAGTTCCCCCCAGTGTCAGAATACCTGCCACAGTCCCGCTATAAATCGCTGATTGCTGCCATTACTAGTAAGTAAATCAATAAATAAAATTCCAGTATATATACCACCATTTGTAAACGCTATAACTTTCACGTAAACCAATTAATTTACACGTATTTGGGATTTTCAAAGACATGTAGCAAAATATATTTTGGCCTAAATTTATGACGAAATTTGATTTTTTTTCTTTATTTTTATTGAACATGTTTAATAGCAGAAAGTCAAAAATATTGTTTTTTTTTCTAAAAGTTGTCGGTATTTGTTTTGTTTATAATGCAAAAAATAAAAAATGCACAGGCTATCAAATACCACCGAATGAAAGCTCTATTTGTGGGGAAAAAAAAGACATAAATTTAATTTGGGTGCAGCGTTGTATGACCGCACAATTGTCCGTTACAGTAATGCAGCTCTGTACTGCAAAAAATGGCCTGGTCAGGAAGGGGGGGTAAATCCTCAGGACGGCAAGTGGTTAATAAGATCACAAAATAGGTACAGAGGTTGAAAATAATTGGGTATGCAGCTCAAAGCAAGAACTGTGTTACTGTCTTCTGCTAGCCCTGCACTTTCTTTGCCCTTATTTTGGTTAGCAATATTTATTTGCACAAAATGTGTTAGTTACTGTATATCAGGGGTTGCTCATATGACAAATGGGACTGGAATATTGTTGAGTCATCCTTTGATAACCAATTACCTTATATTAAAGACATTGGTTAACTTCTCAATTCTGTGAACATCCCTGTTAACTGCATTGTACTGCCTGTGTAGCAGAGTGAATATGACCTTTTGTAGGTGTTTTCTTTAACCAGTTGCCAACCGACCTATAGCAGCTTTACTGCTAAAAGGCGGCTGCTCTGTGCAAAATCACTTATATATACCTGATACTGCACTTGCTGGTAGGGAGGGTGCGCACCGCTTCTGCTGTGATTAGTCACAGCAGAAGCCGATCAGTGGGTGCCAGCCGATGGATGACCGCTGGCACACGTTGATCGGCAAGGAGAAAGACAGAACACAGCTCTGCCTATATAAACAAGGCAGAGCTGTGTCCTGTCAGTGGCGATGTGCTGGATTTTGTTTCTCTGTAAAGCAATATAAACTGATTGGGATTTTCTTTTTTTCACCAAAAATATATATCCGAATACATACTGACCTAAATGTATGAAGAAATAAGATTTTTTAAAAATTTTTTTTTTATTGGATGTATTTTATCACAGAAAGTTGTTTTTTTGTGTTTTGTTTTTTTTCCCCCAAAATTGTCAGTCTTTTTTTTATTTATAGCACAAGAGATAAAAACCCCAGTGTTGAATAAATACCACCAAAAGAAAGCTATTTATGGCAAAACAAATGACAAATTTAATTTATGTACAGCGTTGCATGACCACACAATTGTCAATTAAAGTAAGGTAGAGACGTATAGCAAAAAATGGCCTGGACTTGAAGGGGGGTAAATCATCCAGAGGTCAAGTGGTTAAGCTGTCTACCTTATAATTCTTTGTTATTATTTTGTTTAGGTGCTTCTGTTTTGGAAGGAGAAAAAGTTCAAATAAGCAAAAGAAAGCTGGATGCCTCCAACCTTCTAGTCAGGCTGCCAGAATCTCAACGATCTGCATATGAAGTCTGGTTCCAGGTGACCATGTTACCCAAACATGGTGTGATCATAGTTGGAGACAGGAATATCACTAAAGAAAAGCCCAACTTTTTCCCAGTATATCATCAATAAGTTTGGAATTACCTATGCACACAACGGAGCAGAGTCCCCTACAGATAACTTTACCTTTGCCACATGGCTCAATTTAAAAAGTAAATCTGCTGTGAAACCAGACTTTGATGTTATAGTGGAGATGTTTAATATCACTGTAATACCTGTTAATGACCAACCACCAGAGCTTAAAACAAAACAACCCAATTTGCGAGTTCTGCAAGGAAAAATGATTGCATTTGGGCCAGAAAACCTGAACGTTGAAGATCTGGATAATCCACCAGAGAATATAACATACACTGTTATAAGTGCACCAAATAATGGCTTCTTGGCCAAATTGGGCAATCTAAATGAATCAGTCCAGCATTTTACACAAGCAGATATTAATAAAGGAAACCTCTGGTTTGTACAAGATGGAAGCCCAAGCTCAGGTGTGTTCTACTTCAGTGTGACAGATGGCAAACATAAACCATTATATAAACTGTTTAATTTGGATGTTACACCTGTTTCCATAACTTTAGTTAACAAAACAAATGTAGTCCTTGTCCAAGGACAGACCTTTGCAATAATTACAACTAAAAATCTAGCAGCTACCACAGATGGAAAGAGCACGGTGATTAATTTTGAGATATCACAGCCACCAATATTTGGCAGTATTTTAGTTAACAATGCACCTGTGACTAACTTTGATCAGAAAGAAATAGAGTCTGGCAAGGTAACCTACCACATGAACAACTTTACTGCATCTCAAGACAGTTTAGAAATAATTGTCTTCACTTCAGAAAGTAATCTCACAGGGCAGGTTCTGAACATCACTGTGGAGCCTCTGGTAAATGTTGCTGTTGGACTAAAAATACCAACGGGCTTAACGTACAACCTAAAAACTAGGGACCTGGATGCAACAGAACTGGCAAATTTGACCAGCAGTGACCCAGAATACTATATTGTTGATGCACCAGCATATGGTAAACTTGTAAGAAGAAAGAGGTCTAAAAAAGATGAGTATGAGGACATTGAAAAGTTCACACATCGTGACATTGAATCTAGACAAATACTGTTGGATGTTGACGCCAATGTGACTGATCACGAAATGATCAATGATTCATTTGTTTTCATGTTAAAAGCGAATAATGTACCTCCTGCTCTAGGATACTTCACTTATTCTGTGGTTCCGTATGATCCAATGCTTGTGGACTCTTCGACAACTGTGGAATCTTTTTCATTTACCACAACTGATCTATTATACACCAGCGTAAGCCATGAGAAGAGGACAACCAGTCACTGGCTGAACAGAAATGTTACAGAAGCTCCCATAAGGAGATTCGGCAATCGAAATCGATGGGGAAATCAAAGAAATGATGAGCCAACTCTTTCGTTGGACATAATAACCACAAGCTCTTCCGTTCAAGAAACCACTATTAAACTAACTACTGATGGTCCTAAAGCAGAATCTAGCCAAACCAATCCTCTTTCAATCATAATTCCTTTGGTAGTTCTTTCTATCCTGCTGCTGGCCATCATTTTTTTTGTGTGGTTTCTTCTTAAGAAACGAAGAGCAAAAAAGGCTCCACCACATGTTAGAAGTCATTCCTACAGCATGGTTCCTCAGGTTCCTTCTCCATACACTGAGAGAAGTACAACTGTGCCAACTGTGACTGTAACCCCCCTACAAAAACCCAATGATTTTTGCTCTGCCAGCCCCCTGTTGCCACCCAAGCATGGTCATCTACTTGTGAATTCTGCTCCATCGTTTGATGCCAACGCTGATCAGAAGACCTGGTTACATATGGATGCAGAAATGATGCAACATTGCCGAAAAAAACGAATCCCGCTCTTAGAAAAAATCAGTATTGGGTGTAACAAACCGTACTCGCGTAAACGTTTATATGCTAATATATTTTATAAATATGTATATTTTTGGTATTTACCAAAACAGCCATTATATTCACAAGGTGCACACATTAATGTAGTTGTTAGGGGCAGACAGTCCATTCCATGAGCCAATAGATTTTTGTAGGCCACTCAGCATCATGTATTTGCCTTGACTAGAGTTAGTCAGCTGTGCCTTTTTAAATGTGTCGGCTGTCGAGTTTCTTGAAGTTTTCTAGCTTTGATATCATGTATTTGTCTTTACGCTGTGAAAAAAAGATGTCTGTATACTGGTGTGTGTGTATGTATTAGATTAGCAGTCATTTTTATGCTACCTCTATGTTTAATGACTGTTTAATGTAACAGACTGCACATCGCTGATAAATATTTGTGCCAGGTTGACAAGCATTTTAATGCCACTACTGACATGTTTTGTGGTGATGTTTCACATGAAGGTTTTAAAATGTTTGGTTTGATAGCTGGAAAGTTGTACTACTGACATGTATTTATTTATTTATGGTCCTAATGTGATTGCATGACTTTCAATGGCTATCGGGCCATAATCATCATGTTTTTTAAGTCTTGAATACCAATTGACTAATCAAACAACCGAATTGGACAGCACTACTGCACAAAAATATTCTGTGCTGTACTTAAATTATCTGTCTGGTAATCATGCGAGTTTGACGAATAAGAAGATCAAAGCATGTCTTATTGTATTTTATTTTGTTGAAAGATCATCTGGTTATTAGTAAGGTGTTAGTGGCCTTAAAGTATATTCCCACTTTTGTAACCATATTGAGATAACACCTATGTTACATGTTCTCATTCACATAGTATAACGTTAAAACATTTAAAATAATTGCTGCTTAGCTTTTTGACTTACATTTTATTTGTAAACCATAATTTCCAGTGTAATACAAGGGAGTTAAAGGAGTAAATGTGTACCGTATTTAACTCTCTCTGTACTGTGCTGGCACATCTCCAATATCAGTTGTAAACTAGATTTGAACACTTCCTAACAAGAGTGTTAGACTGAGTGTGTAGAATTCAGACATTTGTGTATCCATCCTCAATATGTCCTGAGCAAGCTGCTTCAATGCCTGGTAAACATCTATTGCAGAAGACTGATATATTTAGCACTGTCACTTTAATATTGATTCACAAATGCTGCACTTGTCATTGCTCTCCATTTGTCTCGTGCAGCATGGCTGTGGTCTCCATTTGTCTGATGCAGAATGTCCATGGTTTCCATTTGTCTCATGCAGCATGACCGGTCTCAGTTTGTTTCACGCAGCGTGTCTGTTGTCTCTAGTTGTTTCTCACAGCATGTTGGTGGTCTCTTTAAAAAGCCATGGTAAAATAGCAACATACCCTTTGGTAGCATTTACATGTTTTCAATGTCAGTCTAAATTTTTTTTTTTTTAGTTGAGCATAGAGTGAGGAAAGATGAGAACCCCTGTCTGGTTTTACTGCTATTTGGGTCTATGTTAAAGAGATTTCTCCTCCCCTATTGTCCAAGTGACAGTAGTTTTGATGGACAAGAACAAAAGAAATGTCTCCAACACTGATAAAATGAAATTCTTTTACTATTTATGTCCCTGTTGCAGATTTCCCATTACTCCCTGTCTGGAAAAACCTTTGTCACTGGGAGAGTAATTTAGGAAAAATCTCTATAAGGGATAGCTGAATGAGGTACAAGTAATATTGGTGGATTGGTATGTGATAAGGATTATTGTGAGGTTTCCAGTAAACATGTGGTCCGTCCGTATGTTTTCAGTGTTTTTGCATAAAATAAAATATTGGAAGTTTGGGATGTTTGCCTGCAGGTACCTTAAATTACCACAAAGTGAGGAAAGTGACCAATAAGCCTCTTTTTACATGGCCAGTTATCTGCATTCCCTGGATTACAGTGGAAAATTCTTGCAGGTGGAAAGAACAGGTTATACGAATAACAATGGCCAGTCAACCTGTATAAACTAACGACAGGCTGACAGTAGCCGCCACTGTTCACATGTAGCTGCACTCCATGCATTTTTCTGCTGACATCCGAGCCTGGACACCACTGACGACTGTGTCCATGCTTGGACATCTCCAGGTAGACACACAGTGTGCGGCTACATGTGAACAGCGTTGGCTGCTGTCAGCCTGTCATCAGTTTATGTAGGCTGACAGGCTGTCGCTATTCTCATGACTTGGTCATTCTACCTGCAGGAATCTACCCTGGAACCTGTAGAATGCAGATAACTGGCCATGTAAAGGAGGCATAGAGATTTCTGCACTGGGGACACCCAGTGAGCCAAGTGCCATTGTCATTCCCTCATATCTTCTCCTGTTTATACACAGCTCAAAAAAATAAAGGAACACTTTTTAATCAGAATATAGCAACAAGTCAATGAAACTCCTGGGATATTGATCTGGTCAGTTAAGTAGCAGAAGGGGTTGTTAATCAGTTTCAGCTGCTTTGGTGTTAATGAAATTAACAGGTGGACTAGATGGGAAACAATGAGATGACCCCCAAAACAGGAATGATTTTACATGTGGAGGCCACTGACATTTATTATCTTTTCAGTTTTTTCACTAGTTTTGCATTTGGCTTCTGTGTCACTAATGGTAGAATGAGGTGATACCTGGACCCTACAGAGGTTGCACAGGCAGTCCAACTCCTCCAGGATGGCACATCAATATGTGCCATTGCCAGAAGGTATGTTTTGTCTTCCAGCACAGTCTCAAGAGCAAGGAGGAGATTCCAGGAGACAGGCAGTTACTCTAGGAGAGCTGGACAGAGCCGTAGATAGGTCCTTAACCCATCATCAGGACCGGTATCTGCTCCTTTGTGCAAGGAGGAACAGGATGAGCACTTCCAGAGCCCTACAAAATTACCTCCACCAGACCATTGGTGTGAAATGTCTGTCACTGACAAAACAATCAGAAACAGAAATCATGAGGGTGGCCTGAGGGCCCAACATCCTCTAGTGGGCCCTGTGCTCACTGCCAGGCACCATAGAGCTCGGTTGGCATTTGCCATTAAACACTAGAATTGGCAGGTCCACCAGTGGCCTGGGGAGCCATATCCATAGAGAGACAGACAGAACTCTACAGGCTAGACAATGGCACCCTGACTGCCATTAGGTATCGGGATGAAATCCTTGGACCCATTGTCAGACCCAATGATGCAGTGGGTCCTTGGCTCCTCCTCGTGCACGACAATGCCCGGCCTCATGTGGTGAGAGTATGCAGGCAGTTCTGGGAGGAAATACCCCAGGACACCATCCATTGTCTCATTGGGATCATGCCCTGACATTGTCAGGCATGCATACAAGCACGTGGGGGCCATACAAAACTACTGAGTACCATTCTGAGTTGCTGCAATGAAATTTCAGCAAAATGGACTAGCCTGCTGCATCATTTTTTCACTTTGATTTTCGGGGTGTCTTTGAATTCAGTCCTCTGTAGATTGATCACTTTCATTTCCATCAAACAATGGGGCATCCTTACTTTACTAACACATTACCCAGTCCACATCAGTATAGATATCCGACATGATATTTTTCCCCATTGAGATTTGATGTGTTTTCAAAGTGTTCCTTTAATTTTTTTGAGCAGTGTACTTTTATGATGTTTGTAATCATGTAACTTTTCTTAGCACTGGTGTAAAGACCATTATGTATTCTGTGCTATTGAATTATTATTCTTTTGTAGGTGTTTATTTTAACACTTTTCTTTCAGTGTAAACTGTAACTTATCAGCCTTAAAACAGTTTCAGCCTTAAATTATTTATGCAGAATAATGTAAATTTTTATTGTGTTCTCTTTAAAAAAAAAAAAAGAAAAAAACCTTCAGTTGTGTTTGTCATTTCTTCCAGCAAACAGCAGATGGAGCCCACATCTTATTTTACAGGATACCCTGCCTGCCTATATGAAATCTAGTAGAGATGCCTGTGGATTAAGACTTGTGATTGTGAGTCATGGGAATAGTATGCCACAATGGCTGAGCCCAATTGGAACTCTTATATTCATTTGTCTATTCCCCAACAAAACAATTATAGTAGAATTTCCTTTGTAGCACCACTTGTTATACTTGTGTAAGAAGTTTCATGGTATGTGGTGTTTCTATGAGTTGTGTTTTGGTTTTTTGGAATTTATATGTTTTGTAATGCAGTAATGCACTTCTTCCCCTTTTAAAGACCCTACAAGT